GTTGGTCACAGGTCTGCTCACCCTGCGGGCACGGGTGGCGGTTCCGCTCTGCCCCCACTCCAATTGGGGTCACGTGACCACCACACCGGCAGGGCCTGATCCGGGCGTGGGAGAAGGATCTGCTCTGCCCCTACTCCAGTTGGGGTGACGTGTCTACCACACTGGCAGGCCACTGGGCCTGACCCGCCAGGCTGTCACAGGTCTGTTTACCTTGCAAGCGCGAACGGCGGCTCTGCCCTGCCCCTCCTACCACGCCCATGTACCACTGGGTCACGGGTCTGCCCACCTTGCGGGTGCGGGTGGCGGCGCGGCTCCGCTCCGCCCCTCTCCAATTGGGGTTATACGGTCACCACGCTGGCGAGCCGCTGGGCCTGCTCCGGGCACTGGCAGCGGCCCGGCTCCTCCCCTCTGGCTCGAGGACAAATTGGGGAGACTCGGGTGTCTGTGCCTCACCCCCCCTACCAGGAGACCAACTGTTTCTGTCGCCGCTGGTATTGATGAAGTTCTCTCCTCCGCCGCTTTCTGATGACATCAGATCTCTGCCATGTTGGTATCCTATGCGAATGGCAGCATTTCGTTCCCCTTGCCGGGCAACCAAAGCAACGGGTGAGTCCTGACCGGCCCTCAGCAGGACCCGGACCGAGAAGCAGTTTCCGCGGGCTCCTAGCCCCAGGCCAGGGAAGTTCCGGGAGCCGGAACTCGGCCGCTCCGTGCTCGGTGTATGCTCTGAAAGGAGCAGGGTCCAAGAAGCAGCCTCCGCAGGCTCCGTAGCCCTGGGCCAGGGCGGTTCCGGGACGGTGTTCGCTCCGATAAGATCAGGTTCTAAGAAGCACCCAGGCACTGAACCCTAGTAATCTGTCTGCAAGCCGCAGACGAATTGCAGCCTGAAATTACCTGTTCTATGGCTGAATGAGCTGCGGTCAGTCGAAAACAGGGATGGTGACGTCAGCTTTCCAACATGGTGGCTGCTGGCCTCCTCTGTGGTCTGACCGGTGTGGAGAACCGAGATGGACCGCTTCCTTCCCCCGTCTCGAACCCAGAATTCAGCCCTGAGTACGGTGTTTGCACGGCTGGCAGAAACTGCAGCGCTGTATCCCTGCGTCGCTATCTCCTCGTTTCCCAGCGCGCGCTGCAGACTCTAGCCGCGGGGCGATTTGCTGAATAAGCAGTGTTACCCTCCGTGCGACAAACCTCTCGTGTTTGAGTCCCCGTAGCCGATCCTCGTGCTATGGAAATCCTTCCTCCAGGTTCCGGAGCACCCCACTATTGCTGGAAATTCCTAACAAGATATCCTTTAGCCGTCCTGACTTGTCATACTCCCACACAGTGAAGCAGCACAGGGGGGCAATGCACTCCCCTCGCCGCCATCTTCCTTCTCCTCCAAAAATGTATTTTGAATGAGCTGCAGTTCTATTGTTAGCTCTTAAGATAGAAGACAGGGTCAGCCTTCTCTGGTGGCAGAAGAGCTCTTGAGCAGTTAACATTTGGTTGAATTCTGTACCAGTCAGGGTGAGTGTAAGGTCCATCCACCACCATATTGTTTTTATTGAGTGGTAACCATGCTCTGTCAGAGTGCTTTCTTGCAAAACACTGAAGAATACACACAGGAAGGCTGCCTCTGGAAAAATCAATACATTTCTAATTTTTCCCATGATATATATTCTCAGTGCTTTCACAAATTTAAAATTCTATAAGGAACTTTTTTTTTTCCCCATTGAGGGGAAAAAAGAAGAAGTAACAGAATCAGTGGTCTCAACTTAGACTTTTTATTAATACCTTTTGTTGAACTTTTTGTTTTTTGGTACCTGCGAGGTGTTTAACCACTGAGCCACGTTCTTAGCCTGTTTTTATTGTTTATTTTGAAACAGGGTCTCATTGAGTTGCTAAGACTGGATTTGAACTTGTGATTCTCCTTTCCTCAGACTCCTGAATCACTGGGATTACAGGCATGCACCACCCCGCCTGGCTTGTTGAACTTTTTATAAATGTGCTTGGATTTCTACTTCAAACCTGTTGCCTTAGCCAGTTTTTGCATTTCTGTGACCAAAACACCTGGCAAGAACAACTTAGAGGAGGAAAAGTTTATTTGGGACTCACAGTTTCAGAAGTCTCAGTCCATAGGTGGCCAACTCATGCAAAATGAGGCAGCATATCATAGGAGAAGGATTCAGCACAGGGAAACTGCTCCCTTTGTGGTAGCAAGGAAGCAGAGAAAGAGAAAAGAGGGAAAGGGGACATAGGAAAGATTTACCCTTTCCAGGGCTCACATCCAAACCATAACACAATTAATAGACTTCTCCTAGCTAATTCTAATGCATGTCTATGATTATCAATCGCTGGGTCAATCAGTGATTCTCAAAAGTGTGGTTGTTACTGGCCCTGTGGTCTCAGCATCACCTGGGTTCTTGTTTGTTCACCTACCCTTCTTAACCTACTGAATCAAGAACCCTGGGAGAGGGCAGCATCAGTGTTTTAACAAGCTCTCCAGTGATCCCTTTTCTGTGAAGATCCCTTTTCTGAGAGGCTCTGCCTGGAATGGTTTTAAAACTCCTCTCCACTCTAATATTCCACAGGTGCTTGTCTTGACTATCAAAGGCTTTCAGAACATTGCTTTGCTGCTCATCATTCAACATCCAGTTCTTTTGCTGTTATCTTTCTATTTGAATATTCTTATAGAATTCAAGCGTCTGCTACTGTGAGCCTTCCAAATGCTTTGTGTTGTGTGTCAGAGGCAAGGCGTTAACTTTAAATGTTGCATAAAAAGGCTTTTCCTCCTGGTGTGTTTTGTCATTTATCTTATTTCTGAAGATTAGCAAATGCAGAATTATTAGCCTTGTTTATGGTAAGAAGTTGAAAAGGATGCCTTTTGGTGTGGTTCTGGCCTGGGCTTTTGCATGATGCACATGGGTCAAGGTTAGTGGCAGGTAATTTGAAGAGAGTGCCACTGTCCTCCTTTGTTGTCCTAGTTCATACCACTCTCAGCATATAGCTCTAGCAGAATGGCTCCTTTAGGTCCAGCTCAACATGTGCTGGTCAGGCAGCACGGGGAATTAGAGCTCTCTGCTCACTGTAAGGAAACCTCTTTTTTTTGGCTCCCAAATGGTTTCCAGAGCTATCAAAATAATACCATTTGCAGGCACTTTTCATGGCTGAAAAGAGCAAGTTGGAGAGGAAAAGGAGTACTCTCCGGGCCCTGGGAGAACTGTTTTACAGCTGGGCATTGCACATAAATGCTAACTGAATGCCCTTTCAGTTGTATAACTCACCATTGGGGCTCAACCGTGGAAGAGGCACTCAACAGAAATGAAGAGTACCTCACACAGGCATTTGTACTTGTAAACCAACTCTTCTTTGTGAGCCGCAAATGGCAATGTGTAGGACATTGTACTACAATTCTCAAGAAAAGCTTGCAGTGGCGAAGGGTTGGTGGGCCGCCTGCTGCTCATTAGAGATCCTGTCTGGCTCTTTTCCTGCAGAATGAGTGGTAGATTGCTGACACCTGTTTTCCCATCCAGCCTGAGGATGTGAAGTGTGCATTAGGAATGCCTGAAAGTGCTTCCTTGTGTCCGAATCTGGAGTTTGGTGCTGTTTATGGAGATGCGGGTGGGGGTTCATTGCTAGGAGGGGAGATGAAAAAAAAATCAGTGGTGAGAAACTGCAGTATAAACTGAGAAGGGATGGTAATCCTCATTTAGCAGCTTCTGATTATGCACTTAGTTCACACTCCAACTCGATTTTTCATTGAACAAAGGGGGGGAAAGAGTCCTATACATGGGAAGACCTCAGGTATTTCTCAGATAGCATGAATATATAGTTGAGACTATGAGCACATTAGAAATGAATAGAAATAACCAAACATATCAATATCACTAAGTTATTTAAGAATAAGTTTGACCTTAAATATATGAAATTTAAGTGTATTGGTGGTCTCATCGGTGACTGCACACTTCTCTTCAGTTGTCTGCTCCACCTGTTGTAATGTCACAAATCTGGCAGACAATGGAACAGAGGCCCTAATGTGCTGCCTTGAGTTACAAATATGGAGTGTCTGCTGTATATAATGCATAGTGCTAAGTGTGCAGGTATAATAGAAAGCATAAGGCAGACCCTACTGTATCAAGTGCTGGTGTCTCCTCTTTATCTGGAAGAAAAGACCCATAGGAGGCAGCACATAGGAGGAGTATGTTACAAGCACTACAGCGTAGCTAGTAAGAAACAGGTGATCCATCTAGTGTGTTTTCAGTAGGTTTGGAGAAGGAAGAGAATTGAGTTGGGTGGGTTGGAAGTTAGATGTAAAGCTTGCTATGGATATTAAAGGATGTGGAGAATTCATTGAGAGTAAGAGAGATTAAGGTGTATCTATTATGCTTTTTTTCCCTGACATTCATAGGTTGTGGAATTAAAAAGTTGTTTTTTTTTTTATTTTTTTCTTTGCTCTTCTATTTTTTTAAAATAGTGGCAACACTTTTCCCTGACTCATCTGTGGGACTTGGCCTCATGAACATTGGCCTACATTTGTGAACTGTGGACAGGGTTAGGGTTGGGTCATGGCCTTGGACCAGAGTGAAATTAACTGGCGCATAATGTGATTGAACTAATGACCTTGGCCTCATTACCACTATGTTTTAACCAGTTGAGTCAATCAAACATTGCAGAAAGGGTAATCAGGCTATCTCTTAGAAAGAGATGTGCATAGTAATAAACAGGAGTGAAGTCAAAGCCAGGTTCTTTCTTTATGTAACACCCAGGTGTTTATCTCTTTATCCTTGAGTTTTTATACTTGTTTCTGCACATAATAAAATAAGGTGGTCAAAGAAAAAGGACCCCAAAAACTCTTCCTGTGCTAGTATTTTTGACATCATGAAATGTGTAGTCATTTTTCTTGTGCAGTGTCAGGCTGTTTTTGCAGAGACTGCTTTGAGCCAACTATATTGTTTTCAATTTTAGATGTGTAGTGTCCCATAAAGTTATTGATGATGTTTTTCTCTTCTTCTCTAAAGTCCGAGCAGCCCAGTCCTGCCAGTTCCAGCTCCAGCTCCAGCTCCAGCTTCACACCGTCCCAGACCAGGCAACAAGGTATCAGTAGCTCCCAGGCAAACTAGGAGACATTTTTCTCATAAAACATCTTAATGAGTTGATTTATGACCTATCTTCTACTGTTTTATTATTTGAATGGTAACTCGACTTTTATGAAGTTGTATTTATTTCCCCTAGGAGTGCACTTGGGTATTGTTCTGATATATGAGGCCAGGCTCTAGAAATTCCCCCTTTTTCCAGTCCCTGCCATCAGATTCCCATTTTACAAAAGGATTATAGACCACAGCCCATTCTAGGGAGTTCCCAAAGGAAATACAATATCAAAATCGGGACTTGAGAGAAATGGGTTTTCACTCTTCCTCCTTAGATACCTTTATTTGTTTTTCTACAGATTAATAGAGTTTGTTTTTAGCAGATGTAAATTTGTTATTTTTTAAATATCTTTTTTAAAATATCTTTTCTTAACTGTTTATGCTCAACTGTTAACCCAAACCCTGAATAAAAAAATTAAACTAGAACATACAACTAATTTTTTTTTTTTTGGTATATGTGCAAAATCTTCAAATGAGGCCTCCCCCTTTATTTTTTACATAGAAAATGAGTTAGTATCAAAGAATAGTTTGGTTTTTACTCTTTTATTAAACATCATCTTTTTCATCAATCACAACTGAATTCCTAATGACCTTGTATGTTTTGAAAGGGATTAAACTGTTGTGTGTATTTGGACTAAGGCTAAGCTTCCAGAAAAAAAAAGAATAAAAGATAGTTTTGGCTATTCAGGGATCTTGTTCCATTGACTTCCAAAAGAAATAAGCCCACAATGAAAGCAGAGAAAGTTTGGGTTTTCAGAATGTGCAATTGCAGGGAGTGAATACTTATTTTAGAACTGAATAACTGATAATTTAGATATATGTATCATAAATTAGACTTTAGGAATTGCCTGATCCAAAATGGAAGTGCCTCTGCCACCTTCTTGATTGTCTTTACAATCTCTTCTGTTAAAATTTAAAAGACCTATCTTGTTTTTCATCACACTTAGCGTATAGTAAAAGCTATATGCATGGGGGGGGTGATGAATGGGGGTGGGGAGAATGTGAGTGTGTATGTGTGCGCGAGAGCGAACACATTTCTATTCAACCCTAGAATAAAATTAGTTATGGCTTCATGTTTTTTTTCCTCCCATCTAATACTGGATACTGTCTTGAATTTTCTGGGCACCTGATTTATTACATGGCCTTATTTATGTTAATGCATGCTGGTATTTTGCCAGGAATTTCTTAAAAAGTAAAATAAAAATTGGCTGTATAAAATTGTTGCAACAAGACCTTCTGTCCAAGATCAATATGAAGATCAGAGATAGGACATTACACCACGGAACTGAAATACTTTATAATGTGAACTTGACTGAAATGCTTGCTTGACCTGAAATTGACCTTGAAATAAAAGGAACAGCTAAACCTTAATAGATCAAAAACTACCACACAAAGACTGCATTGCCAAGAACAAGTTAGAACCGCAGTGATTTATTAATCTCAACTTTTCAATACATGGATTAACCTAACAAAACATCCAATTTACTAATAGATCTGTTTCTTTTTAGGTGTAATTTTTCTTAGGGAAGAGAAAAACTGAAAAAAAGTCTAGAAAATAGAGATTCTTTAATGAACAGCTTGGGGAATCTATTATGAAAACAGAAAAAAAAATCTATTATGTTTAGGTAGAGCTTGCATTCCAGAAACTGAACCAAATTTTTGTTACAAATGGTATGACTGTATAGGATAATAATTACTTTTAACTGGCATTCAGTGCTGGAAAGCATTCCCTTGTTCTAATAGGGCAAAGCTTGTTTGAAATCATATTTGATTCGCTGTGGTTCACTGTCATTGCTCAGGTCCTTTAAGGTCTATAATGAAAGATCTGCATTCTGATGACAATGAGGAGGAATCGGATGAGGCAGAAGATAATGACAACGACTCAGAAATGGAAAGACCTGTAAATAGAGGAGGCAGCCGAAGTCGCAGGTGAGTATCTTGGAGGGAGAGAAGTTCTCTGTGATGGAGTCACACCTTTTCACTGGGCTTACTGGTATCATCAGAGCACAGGTGAAACACCATAAATAATAGCAGCAAGTAGTCACATTCATTTGAAGTTGGGGCATGTCGGCATGTTTATAGTCACCTTTAAGGGGAACTGTTTTTCACTTTTCTCAGGAAGAAGAGAGTTTTTCCTCTAAAAACTTGATAGGAAAAAGTCACATTAGAAGTTCTGAATATTTGAACGTATATGCCACGTGGCAAGACTGACTGCTGAAATAGTCCATTTTCATGTGAAGCATGCGTATAGATCTGTTGCTGGCAGTAGTCTCAGAAGGTGAAGAAATGTGTTTGCTGTTTGTAGCTAGAAATACATAATTGGCTGCAGTGAATGATGTGTGTGACCTAATTAAAACTAGGATCACCTGTGTGTATTTTCCAGAAAATAAATTCCTTTTAAGTGTGCTGACAATTAGGTTCCTTAAGCAGCTTTAATGCTGTGAGGCATAATTCCACATTATAAGATGGTAATTCATGTCACTTATAATTAATAGTCAACTTGAAATTGCCTTGAGGATTTCATTTCTTTATCATGAGGAAAACAAATAGGCGTGCTTACTTTAATGTGTTTTGAGTAGAAAAAAATATCAATCTACTTGAATTAAAAATCCAATTACATTTATGATATATTATATTGTCTGTTCCTATTATCCACGACCATGTAGATGGCACTAAAATTCCTAGAAAGGATGCAGTATTAACCCCAAGTGGACACACTGTATGATCCCTAACTACTGATTCTTCAGTATTCTTTGGAAAGAGCCTCTGTAGGGGATATGCCCTGTCAGATCTCTCAATGACTGTACCTTATGGCCATACTAAACACTGTTTCTTCACCTTTTCTCCCAAATTCACCTGGACCTTCATGGCCTTGGCTTTTTAAAATAATTCCCTCTAGAAACTTTCCATTTGGCAAGAAGAAACAGGAATAGCAAACAGACCTAAAAGTGGGCTGATACTTAGAATTAAGAAACTTACTTAGACCAACCAAGATCGTGACCACTGGCTGTTCTCCAGTTTAGCTGATTTAAGGAAAAAAAAAAAAGAGAGAAAGGAAGAAAGAAAAAAAGGAAGAAAAGGAAAGGAAAAAAAAGTCTGACCTATTTAGGCAATTTCCAAGTTATTTAGAAGATCAGGATATTCTGTGATTAACTTCTGTCCACACACTTTCTGCCCCATCCCCTGAGTTATTACAAGTCAGATCAACATTTGTGAGTTGTCTGATGTAGATACACATTGTTGGGGACAGTTTCTTTTCCCCACCTGACATGTGCTCTTAGCACGACAGTGCCAGTGTAACATTTGATCTGCGCTGCACTTGTGAAGTCTCAACTGTTTAATCAGTTTAAATACTCAGCCCTCCACTTCAGTCGAGAAGCATTTTAAAGCAGGCTTCAGCTGAACACTTCATTAATGTAATTTAGTTAAGAAAAACAAGTTCCATCAGTTTTTGCTAAAAGGATGTCCCAGTGTATCCTTTTCATTTCCTATCATGTATCCTGTCTATCTGAATATATAATAGAGCTAGAATGTGATTGCCTATTCAGAGGGGAAGAAAAACTAACCTGATTTCTAAAGCATTTTCTGTTTCTGAAAAGAATATTATATTAGGTTACTGTATAACCAGAGAGAGGGAGCAAACACTGAAGGACGCTTCAGAAGGAGGGCACACATTCAGCAGAGTAGAATAAAGAACTCTCTCTTCTCTGGTTAGAAGATAATTCCATTTTATGCTGAAAAGAAAAAAACAGGGAGGAGGTGGTATTTTTATTGTCTTTAGTTGTTGAAAGATACCATCTTATTTTTCTAAAGCAGTATCCCAAGCACACCATTTCTTTGTGTAGATGGACTGTTTTTCCAGTGTTTTAGCAATCAGAACTAGAGTTATCCTTGAATCGTGGCACAGTGGGAATGACTGGTGGTGGGGTTGGCACAACAGACTTCATTTATCAGTACAGCAGAGTGGCTGAGCACTAGCTTTGGGTCACACTGCTTGGGTTTGAGTCCTAGAGCTGCCACTTTTACCTCTGTGATCCTCGCTGAGTGATTCAGTTTAAGGCCCAGTTTTACTCGCCTATGCAAAAAGAGAACTAGCAGGTGAAGCATTTTCCATGGTTCCAGATATGAAGTATGTGCCAATCCATGTTAGTGGTTCTGAGTCAGAATGAACTTTCCCATAGTCAGTGTCTGGATTCCTTGCCTTTCATCACAGTTTGCACAGGTACTTCAAGAACCACCTGTTTGTAGTCATGCCTGTGATTTTTCTGTGTTCCTTTTCAGAGTTAGCTTAAGCGATGGCAGTGATAGTGAAAGCAGCTCTGCTTCTTCACCCCTACATCGTGAACCTCCACCGCCATTATTAAAAACCAACAACAACCAGGTAAGTTGTGGGGTTCACACTTTACAAGACTCTGTGGAACTAGATGTGATCACTTCTACCTAGTGCACACACTTTTTTTTACCTCTTAAGCTTAAACAATGTCTCTTTTAATGGCAAATAGATGGGAATCCCCAAGCTGAGGAATAAACACAGGGCACAGGGACTTATGATGTCATGAGAAGTTGGGTATGGGGGATGGGTTCATAAAGTAGGTGAGGAAGAGATGATAACCCATGTTGTTGCCCAGTCACTCCTCATTTCTATATATTATTCCTCTCAGCAGTAAGGAGGTGGCTTAATTAGAAAGAATATGGCGTTTGGGACTAGTGAAAAGGCAGGTTCTTTGCTTTGCCATCAGTAACTTGCTGGTGGGAAATTAATTTTTCTGACCCTCAATTCCTTCATCTATGAATGATGTTAACTCCTACCTCGTAGTTATTGGAAGGATGCACAGTTCCTCCTTGGCATTCTGTAGCTGATGGGAGATGTTTATTATTATAGGTATTCTGTCTTAGGTTTCTCATCCAAGAGAAGATTATCATCACTTGAGATTGTGAGGAATAATTAAACACAGAGAAAATTGTGGTCATTATCATTGTTATGAATTGAGCTTAAGGAAACCTTATTAATTTGACAGCTCAGAATATATTCTAAGCAGAACTTTGAAGGCTGTAATGAATAAGATAGGAACATTTTCATTACTTACTAAAATAAACTGTTTTCAGGTATCATGAATATTGTAAAAAGCCTCATTGTGCATTGAGTTGATATTCATTACTGTAAGCTATTCTTATCTTTTTGTTTAGGCAGATTTCCTGTGACCTCTACAATAATTGTTTAATTCAAGTTACCAAACGAATATTAACTTGAAAATTAAAGAACTGTATTTTCCCACAAGTGTAGTTTCATAGGTATCCTCCGTTCCAAATGGTCTTGCCCTTGATTCTGTGATCTTTATTTTGGTTGGAAAATGCTATTTTATCGCTGAAGACATTTTCTTTTTCCATTTTGTGTGAAGTGTAGGCAAAGAGCTCTTAGAATTTTAAATTCATTTATAAAGTTCATATGCAACTTAAATCTTTCATTGTGAGTTAGGAAGGTCACCAGTGCTCTTTGCCACACCAGCTAACCTGTAATGGTCAGCTGCAGTTTCTTTGTGCCCTCCACAGTCAGTAAAAGCTCAACCTCATCATTGTATTACACAGTCTGCTGTCCGGCTCTTCTCATCTCATGTCTGAGCCATGCCCAGGGACTGGCTCTCTCTCATCTCTCACGTGGCTGCCCACCACCACCAGTCAAGTATTTTAAGTGGAGAAAGTTAAAAGAGAAGGGACATAAATGTGGCCAGTCATGATGTTGGGGGGAACATTGGGCTGGCTAACTAGATAATTGGGGATCCTTCTACAAACTTTTAGTTCAGGAAGAACTAGTCAAAGAGAAGAATTTGGACCTTAATTATATTTTATATCTGATTTAAACCTAGTTAGACTTGATTTCTGCTTCCAGTGGACAGTGTATGAGAACTAGGATGCTCTTGGTGACAGTACTCCGGCTGAAGGGCACAAGGGTGTGCTTTGGACCCTCATCAGTCTCCTTCAGCAACCCTCCCTGTCATCATGAAGACAGGCCTTGCTGAGTGAGTGTAGCTCCTACAAGCTCTTGTCTTGCCCTTCAAACCCTTCCTGAATGTGCAGTCTTGAGCTGACACTAGCTTTAGGGAAAGATGTGGATTCTTTATCACTATTTTCCTCTTTCACCTGTCTAGCAAAACAAAGCCAAAAATGAACAGTATCATCTATCTGGACAAATCTGAGTAAAAATTACTTTATCCAATTAAGTAGCATTCCACTGGTTCCACGGCATTAGTCCACAAATGTAGCTTCACACATGCAAATCATCAATCTGCCAGCAGTGCTCAGTTAATGTCACTTTCTCCATGTGCCTGTAACATCATAAGAAAGCTTGTGTGCCTTCACTTTCAGCTAGTTGGGGAAGGAAATACATGTACCACAGAAGTATTACCTCTGTGGGCCTATGTCTTTGAGCTGAGAGAGCCAGAAAAGGTTTTTAAAACTGTGTCCAGACCAGTTTCTTAACCCCCTTAAATCACCTGTCCTAGTTCAGGTGATGCCATCCTTTTAAGTCAGCATTTATGGAGTTAAAAAAAATTATTGTATTTCTAAGTTCTCTGTACTGATAGAAATAGTAAAAACTTCAGAATGCCTAAAAGTCACTTAAATTACAGTCTGGAATGTTTTTGTCTTATATTTAAAGGTGTGTGAGAGAGAGCGTGCACATATAAGTGCAAAGTGGTGTCTGAAATTGCACATCAAACAGAAAGGATGAGAACTTACTGGGGAAACCTAATTCTGAAATGGGAAGACTCTGGGTTTCCTTCTTTCTTGCCTTTTGGCTGCTCTTTACCTGCAGTTAATAATGAGTTTGCACAGTACTTGCAAATTTCCATAAAGCAGTGGCAAAGCTGAATTGCCTATTGTCTTTTCTCAAATCTTCCAGGGACTCAGAAAGAGGAAATGTGCTAATTGATTCTAACACTATCAGACTAACTCCCCCCCAAAAAATGTTGAGGGCGGGAGCCCCAAGTTAACAAAGCAAGTGATTAGCTGGGTATTGTTAGATTTTTCATGTTTAATGTAACTCCTATCAGTAGAGAATCCATCCTCTGAATAACTGAATTGTCATTCTAAGGGAAGGGATACAGAAAAATACCATCTTGAAAATTTGATTCTCAAGCCATATCCTCAGAGTAAGGACAGAAATACTACCAATCACAATTAGGCTCTTTTCTGATATTATTATATCTACCCTTGGTTTATTTCAGCAGTCTGGGTGGCTGTGTTTTCTTTAGTACAGTTTAATAGGGAATAATAACGAGTATTGTACCATTTTAACTAGAGATGACTTTTTCCCACCCCAAACCTCCCTTGTGTGAATTTCAAATGAAAACAAAATACCATATCTTTTTTCAGTTCAGAGTGTGGCAGGAAGGGAAGAGGTGAGGGGACTTGAAGGAAGGAAGTGATCCATTGGACCTGAGCTAATACTCAGAATATCATAAATCACCTATCAGCCTGCCAGGCATGCTGAATGAAATTAAAGAGAGTCTATCCAGTTAAACTGGTTTGAAATAGGCCTCTGGAAGACAAGGTGTTGTGCTTTTATATTCTGGAGTCGTTTCCCTAAAGATAAGAAATGATCATAAATAAAACAATTGTCTTCAGCATGGCTCAACTCTCTCAGAATGAGGTTTTGACAAAGCTGTTTATTTTGGAGCAGGGAGAGATCAAAGAAGGAAGATTAACTGAGCCCTCTCTGGGCAGCCACTCAGTAACTTGAGGCGGGTCACTGACACCCGGAGCTTTTGTTCCTGCCACTGCAGCCTCCAGAAGAAAGAAACTAGGATTTCAATGTATTTTAGCCTTCTGTGCTGTAGCACTTACGGAATGCGTGGGGTGGGACTTAAGCTCCCAAATGTTCTGTTTTCTGCTTTGAAGAGAATGTGGCAGGACCCTCTAAACCTAGTTAGCAGAGTTCCATTGCAAAAATAGCATCCACAGCACTTCAACACCCAGAGTGCACCAAATGGGGGATGGGACCATGGGAGGAGCGGGATGTGATGGGAAGGAAATTCTGTTCTTCAGTGCACAAGGCACAGTGGAGATTTTTCTCTTGCCTGAAATCTCCCAGGATTGTCTCAGCAAGGCCCAGCCTGGTGTCTGAGTTGGCTAGGACTGCCATCTACTGACCTACTTACTCCTAGGTCTTGATGCTGATTTTCCCCTGGAGGTCTCATTTCCAACTGAGAGGAGGAAATTCTGAATGCTGTGGAGTGTTTGGTTTCCTTCACAGGGAGCACGTTACAAAAATGATCGCCTTGCAGCTGCTACTCAGTAATTTCCTTTTGTTGCCAAAAGTGTTATATTGTCAGTTGTCCTGGTCAGATTGGTCATTTGGTTATCTCAGTTTTAAAAATGAAGAAGGAAGTGTGAATCTCAGGAGAGACTGGTAGCATACTTCTTGACCCATGCTTTATTTTCAATTCAAAGAGAAATAATCCCATTTAGGACTATTTGGTCTTTCCCAGAAGGTTGTGGTCCTAGCTTTGACAAGTAAAATGCTTATTAGTAGTATAAAATTTTAAACTTTTAAATGGGAACCTGAGTGTTATCGCATTCCATTTCTTCATTACATCTTTTGGGGCCAAAAAATGTTAAATGATAAGGCTGGGGCCTGAACTTGGTTCTTCTGAGCCCAATCTCCTGTTTTTGACAGTGCAAATATAGAGTAGTTTGGTTCTTAAATTTTTCTTTGTGCTATGGAATATGGCATACTGAGAACAAAGCCATGCCTGAGGTAGGGCAGGGGATAGTCGAGGGAAGAGTAGAAGGAATATGAAACTTGTTAAAGGAAGTCCTTTACTTGGCATTTCCTCCTTAATATTAGTCTCTGGTTATAACAACTCACTTGGAAATAAGGTTACAGTGAAAAGGACAAATTGCTTTGCTTCTGATGTCTGTACACATTTCTTGCCATTTATACATTTTAAGGGTGCTCAGCCTTTTCAAGCCAGTGCCATTTAAAACTTGTTTCCCTCAGAATTTTGAAGACCTTAATAAATCATCTACATTTATTAAATAATAGTCATCTCCTTTTATTAGTTAGAACTATAACTCCCTGTCTTGACCATGTGCTACCATTTGACGTGGGCCTACATTTCCAAGCTTCTGAACAGCACACAGGACTACCGTTAAGACCCTAAGCTGCAGTGGGTCCAGATAAAAGGAAAGGTGCCTGGCATCTTACCATGTGTTATCACACCATCTCTTGAAGCACAGAAGACAGTCCTGTCTGTTTCTGGAGTTGCAGGATCCCGGACTGGAGCATGGGTATACCTGATGGCCACTTTCCTTCCCAAAGGAAGTTTCAGTGTCAGCTTAGTGAATACGAGTTATTTGAGACTCTGAAAGGCAGGTACTGTAGAGGGCATCTGAGGGTTTGTTTTTATCATCCCTAGCCTACTGAGCACTGGTAGTCATGCTGAAACAGCAGAATGAAGAGGAAAAAATTCTTGCCAGAGGGGACTGTAATCTCAGAATAACTCAGCTGCCGTACATATGTGTGAGAGTGTTGTCACAAAAGAGAAGCAGCTTTGGAAGCTTAGATCAATTTCCTTATCATCAACTTTTTTTTAAAGTTCTGTTGCTCTGACTCAGCATTTCAGAGACAAGTAATTTATTTTCCAAGCAAAAGTAAGATTAGAATAGAAGGAAAACTATAGCGGGGAAATGCCATTTGGTAAACAATGTTATTGTCTGGTATTTCATGGAGTGAGTACCTTTGTTTATGTGGGAGGTTAGCTAGCAGGTGCTTGAAATAAAATTTAACACAGTGTTCTCTTTGATCCCTAGATTCTTGAAGTGAAGAGTCCAATAAAGCAAAGCAAATCGGATAAGCAAATAAAGAATGGTGAATGTGACAAGGTAGGTTTCCAGCCCATTGGTGTGAGTGCTGTGGCCTTCTTGTCTTCTGGTTTCCCTTGATCATACTTGCTAGCTGTCCCTCCATTTTCTTCATCAGAAATGCCCAAGATTTCCACACGATGAGTGTTTCATCCCTGTGCTTTGTAGTTTATTTTCCATGCCTTGCTCATGTCTTCATTATTAAGCTTGACCATATGCTACCATTTGATGTGGGCCTACATTTCCAAGGGATTTTGAACACATTGAATTGGGAGGTAAGATTGTGAGACGTAAGTGAGCAAGACCTCTGATCCCAGTGCAGGGTGTTTGTATGCATCTTGCCTCTAAAATCTGACTACAAGACTTGGTAGTGCTTAAGTCACCTGGAAAAGGCAGGTCCCTAATGTGTTTGCAGGGGCAGGAAGACCTCTCTAATGCTTTGTAAATCTTTCCTTTGCCCTTATGAAAATGATTCTGGGGGTACCCATGCAGTCACACTAATAAAGACTTGTGAGTTTGAACATATGGAAAGAGAAGTACCCCTCTGCACTTCTAGGGGAGCTCTTCATAAACCAGATGGTAATTGGGATAGTGATCTGTTTTTTATAAGGTATTATTGATATTATTTTGTTCTTTGGTCATTTGCTGTCATTGTTTATCTGAAATGTTTGGTACAATTGGGAGTCTTTTTTTAAAAAAAAAAAAATTAAGAGTTTGCTGTAACCTACCTGGTAATGTGCACTGATACTCCCATCTTCAAACTTAAGCTTTTTTTTTTTTCTGAGATTAAAGAATAAAAAAAATGAAAGGATAAAAATGAAAGCCTGTGATAACATGTTAAAACCCACAATTTAGCATTGAATTTCCCCTAATCCTTGTATATACTTTATTGGAGTAAGGTGAGTCTGCCCACGGGACTTTTGTTGAGAGTAAATAGGTGAGAGAGTTGCTTACTCCCCCATTGTAATGCAAGCTTGGTAAAGGTGAAGGTCAACCAGGAACCAGGACAGACCTGGTCAGCAAAGGCCTTTGGACACAGTTCGAGTGGCTTGTGTAGAATGGTAGGATGAGGAGCGTCCAACTTCGCCTGTGAGTGCTTTCTTATTTTTCAACTGCTTCCTAAAGTGCTTGTTCTTGGGGTGCCCTTCTCTTCCAGGCTTACCTGGACGAGCTGGTGGAACTTCACAGAAGGTTGATGACGCTGAGGGAAAGACACATTCTGCAACAGGTGAGAAATGCCTCTCAGCACAACTGTTCTGGGAGACCCCAGGCTCTGCTTTATCCTGGGCTAGTGAGGTAGCACTTGGAGCCACAGCAGCATCTTGTGATTGGAATGGGGCCATGGCACCTGCTGAAGTATTTGGGGAGGGTTCTGATTTTTGAGGCCGCCTAGAAGTCGGCTTCTAGCTCCATGGTGATTCTTTCCTTCCCCAGTGTAGTCAGTGGCTAATGTTGTAATATGAGGTAAGGGAGGGGACAGTAGGAACGTAGGAGCCACTGGGACCAAGCTTCTGGTTTCATGGGAAAACAGTGATAAGAATTTTGAGTCAAGTGTTATAAACATTTGTGATTGAATTTAGTAACCTTTTTCCAGTGCCGTTCTAAGGAAAATAAATATTTTCTTCATTTCCCTTATCTTGTTAAGCGTACATTCTATTATTATGAACTCAACTGTGAAATGCTTGTAGGGTGAGGAAACTTCTATTAATACAATGTGATGTTTTGAGAAGATAAGAAAAGTGGGTTTTAGTTTTTGTACAGTTCGAGTACATGCCTTTATTGTATTAACAGTGGCTATTGATAAAATAATTTTTCTTTAACACCCAAAAAGTCTGTGCGTCCAAATTCCAGGGCGAGTTTGCAAATTGTTTCACTTCAAAATTTTTTTCTTTTTTACTACTTTCAAATGACTGGAAATTAGTACTTAATGTGCCCCAGCTGTGTGTGAATTATTTTGTAAATGTTTAATGGTTGATGGTCACATTTATATTCTGTGTACATTTTTGCTTAAATCTATAAATACACACTCTCAAACTCGCCAAGTTTCCTGACTGGTCTGATAAACTTTTAACCCTTCTAAAGTTTTAGATTTGAACAAAAGACTTTGTCTACAGACCTAGATTCTTGTTTGTGGATAAGTTACATGTCTTGCATTTTTCTCTTAAGTGAGTATGGGGGTCAGGGGGAGCAGGATTTGAGTGGCTTAACCTAAGTCAGTACTTTGCAAGTACATTCTCCCTTGGCATCCACAGAGCATAGGTTTCAGGTCCCCATTGGATACCAAATTCTGTGATGCTCGACTCTCTCGTCTAAGATGGCATAGTATTTGCATATAACCTGTGCACATCCTCCGTTCTTTAAATCATCTCTAGGTTACTCGTAATTCCTAAAACAATGTAAATGCTTTGGTCATCACTGCTCTACTGTATTGTTGAGAGAATAAAACGCACAAGAAAAAAATCTGTACATGTTCAGCACAGTTTTCCCCCAAAAAATATTTTCAATCTATGTTCAATCTGAGGATGCAGAACCCACAGATACAGAGGACCAAGTGTGATTTTCTTCAACTTTCTCCTGTAGAAGGGAAAATTGTATTGCCTGCCATTTACCAATTATTTGGGGTTAATTGACTAATACCGACAGTAAATCTATTAGCTGATCTTCCCATCCCTTCCCAGATACCAACTCTGAACCACTGTGGAAGAATTGCCCAAGAAAGCTGTTAATGCCCAAGCTAGGCCTAAATTGTGAGTCTCACAGGAAAGTGAGACAGATGTTTGAGTTGGGTGGGGGCACCTTCACAGAGAAAGCACAGACAACGAATCAAGGACAGTATGCCACTGGGCAGGGTCTTACCTTGTGGTGTCATTGGCATTCCTAATTTAATGTTGTCCTTTATTTTGACCTTTGAGAGAATTGTGAGGGAAGGAAGCTTAGTAGAATTCCATCCAAGTGGATTATTTTAGTATTCTACAGGGAGAAAGTAATATCTATGAATTTTTAACCTGGCTAAAAAGGCACCCCAGGGCACACAGCCTCTCACCCTAATTGCATTCCCAGGCTGGTTGAAAGCTCTCAGTCTTTGGCCTTTTGCCTTGTAATGCAGCTGAGGCTTGTGATTATGATACCATGATGCATGTCCTGTCACGGTTTACTGCTTAATTAATTCCTATTGTAAAACATAGCACTATTGAGAACTAATGTTATTCTCCACCTTGAGGGCTGCTCATCTCATGGCATGCATTCTACAAAGTCTCTGTGTTCTCCTCCATGCAGACTTGAACACCTGCGGCAGAATTTCTGGTGGGCCCAGAATGATATCCTGAGTTCTTTCCTGTTCAGTGCATCCCTATCAAAAAAATCTGCTCTGACAATTTTATTTGGCTCACAAAAGGGGTTAATAGCATGTTTTACGCTGGGGACATGCTATCCTGGCACTCAGTATTTAGTTTAATGAACAGAAAGCATTGGCTCAAGGGAGGCTATGTGCCTAAGCCACTTTTCCATAGTGTAAATATACAGTAGAGCGGACACAAAGAGAAGGAGAGAGTACCTAGGACTGACTAATAATTTGATTTTTCTTTAAACCATGTGTTCCACATTTATTTGTAGACTGAAGTGAAAAATATTTAACCTCCCTAGCAGTTCAGCTGCAAGCTTGATTTGTATCCTTGCCTGAAAGAAAAAAAAAAATCTGAGAAAACCCAGAACTTCCTTAGAACAGAGTATATCAATTTAGATACCAGCTATCATTCTTTTAGAATCACCTTCAGGGATTGAGGAATGAGTGGTGTATTAGAGTATTCCTCCTAACAACACAGAGAACCCTCCTTAAGAAGTGTTCTGCTGCAAATGATTTCCTCCATCCTGGGAAATTACCTGTCATATTGGTATCCTTTGTAGATTGGAGTCTGATAGCCTGCATTGTAGCCCAAAGGAGGTACACATTTTCATGTGGAAGACAGGGCTTCCCTGTCTGGAGTAGAGGATATTTTACCAGAGCACTGGCTCCACTTGAGGTAGAATCAGTTAAAGCAAAGCTTGTTCAAGACTTTCCCCCTCCTAGAAGAAGCGACTTTGAATGGGAAGAGCCCTGGCATTTGAAAATATAAGTCAACCAAAAATAAGGCATCTATCGCTTCTCCGCCTCCTGGCTAAGATCGTGTGTAAATGAATGCATGTAGCTTTCTATAATTAAAAAACCAGAGTTAGGGGAGGGAGTCATAGACTTAACAAGTAGATAGTACCCTCCTTGAAACAAAACAACCAACAGCCTCTGTGATACCCCCTTAAAAGGCTGATGTGGCAGGAAATCATCCATCACAAATGTTTTCACAACAGCCATCATCTGAAGAATGAGTTAAGCAGTTTACACACTTTCTTTTTCACTACCCATATGTACCCTGTTCCCTTGAATGCTTTTATCTGCAGTTACTCTGTCTTCTATTATTCTTCTAGATGGGCATTATGATTGCATTTTGATGCAGCATAATGACAGCAAGGTAAACCCACATTACATCCCAGAAACTATATTCCTACAAAAAGAGTGGAGTCCTTTGGAGACTAGCAGCGTGTTTTCAGGCTTTGCGGCCTGTGTCATTGGAATAAAGCACATTAACATGGTGTTTCTGATGTTTGAGCTATCGGGATTCCTGGAAAGGAATGTGCACTTATTTTTCTTTATGGAGTCTTTACTTAATTGAGGACATGGGTACATGCTCTAATAACTTAAATCATTAATGCCGTTCCGTTTGGCAAATAGTCCCGAACTACCCAACTGCTCCCACTACTACTGCCTTAAGACTGTCTCTGCATCTGCCCTGATGTATTCTTATAGACTCCCATTAAAGTTGCAGGGCTCATTTAGTTAGATTTATCAGATTCCCTTTCTATCTTTGCATATGTGTGGCTGCAGGCAGGGTGGGGCATGCTAGTGGTGGAGAAAGTGGGAGGCTGGGTGGGAAGCCCTGGAAACCTAAAGATGTTATAGTGCATGTGAGATGACCGGGGCTTTATTTCCTAGCGGGCCGAAGTGTTTATTTGCTTTAAAATTAAGAGGCTTTTTTTCTAGAAGGAATTTTTATTGCCCAGTTTTCTGTTTATTGTTCAATAATTAGTGAACCACTATATTGAGTCATAGAAAACTATTTTCTTAAAAGGGTAAGTTCCCTGTTATTTTAGGATAATGTGTAGGGCTGTGCTTCCGTTACCCAGTACATTGCAGTTTTAGCCCATCATTTCAACTATTTGGCTTCATCTGTTTTCTCCCCTTCTCCCTGAAAACTTTTGTTATGATTATTAAAAAAATTGTTAATAATAATAAATTCAACCTGGCACATTTGCACACACCTGCAATCCTAGGTGAGGCTGAGGCAGGACGATTGCAAGCTCAAAGCCAGCCTGGGCAACTTAGTGAGATCCTGTCTCAAAAATAAAATAGGTTGGGAATTGCCAGGTGCGGTGGCATACACCTATAATCTTAGCGTCTTGGGAGTTGAGACAGGAGAATCATGAGTTCAAAGCCAGCCTCAGCAATGGCAAGGTGCTAAGCAACTCATTGAGACCCTGTTTCTAAATAAAATACAAAATAGGGCTGGGAATGTGGGGCAGTGGCCAAGTGCCCCTGAGTTCAGTCCCTAGTAACGCCTCCCCCCCAAAAAATTGCTGGGAATGGATACCAGTAGTAGAGCTTCCCTGGGTTCAATCCCCAGAGCCACAAAAGAAAAATATCAGGTAGACTTTTTTTGAGTTTTAGGTTCTGCATTTTTTTTTTCTTGCTTCATTTGTTTTATTGCTAATGAAATGGCTAACAGTAGTTAAGGGCCAGAGATAAAAGCACCAGGTCTGATAATCCATGTGCTCTTTAGTTATCTCCCACATAATAAGTTTACATGATGACCATAACCATGGTGCCCTGATCTAGGTAGTAATTTATAGTTTATAAGGAAATTATTTACCATATCTTATTTAATCCTCTGCAAATCCTTGTATGATATGTAGAAGAGATAGCATTGTCCCCATTTTACTTATGAGGAATCTGAGGCTCAGATGTTATAATGTTCCAGTGCCATTCATATAAAGAGCAGAAGAACTTTATAGGCCAAATCCAGAACTCCCTCTTCTGAATGCCTTGTCACTTACCTGCTATCCCACTAGTTGGGGAGAGGAGTCCACCTCTGGTCTACTTGGTAATTATCTCTATTGTATATATTTGAAATTATAGTAGCTCTGAAGAGACTATTTTTTTTAATCCTGAAATTTACCAATACATACTAGATACACAGTTTCTACATAATGTAGTAAAAGAAAAAAAAAAGATAATGTACTCAGGAAAGTACTCTTATTTCAGCCAGTGTTTAGTATAATTAAGTATATGATTGCCATGAAAGGCTTGTGTGTGTGGACACAACTGTGTGTTTATGTCTCTATATGTAAATATTTGTGGGGAATCAGAGTTCTAAAACTATTTGTTAATAAACACTTCAGTGTCCATTTTGGTTGTTTTGTGTGTTGATACAGTAATTTTTGATGAATTCCTCCATGAATGGTATATTTTAATCACAATTGGGCATATCCTTTCAGATGATCTATTGATAGATATAATGGAGCCCTGAATCTAGTAGCTTAAGCGAATGAGGTTCCCTCCTCCTTTCCTCCTCAACATGTGTTAGGCCCAGGGATAGTAATCCATAGTCAATCTTGTGGCTTAAAAGATGCCACTGAAGACACAAACTCTGTTCTTCTGCTCTGCCATCTTTCATATGTTGCATTCATCCTCCTGAATGGAAGATGGCTGCTGTGCTTCTGGGCATTGCATCTACATTAAAGAGAGCAAGAAGGTCAGAAGGCAAAAGGCACATGTTCATCGTCCATAACATTTTCAACAATTTTTTTTTTTAAATGCCAGTGGTTTCTGACAAGTACGTTATAAATAGTAGTACCGAATGCTACACAGCATTCTGATGAGGCAAGCATTTTAGCTGAGCATATTTGCTACTCTCAAAAAGTCAGGTTCCTGTTAGTAAAGGGGATAATGGAAAATAGATGATCAGTTTGCAGGAACTGTCATGTTCCACAGTAGGCATAACTTGTTGTATTATTAAAACCATAATTATATCTCCAAAAATAGTTTCAGAGATTGAATAAGACAATAACAGTTCAGTTTGGAGTTTTGCAGTTAATTAGATTTAGGCTTAATATGTCTAATATGCTTCTGTTGAGATTAAAAAAAAATAGCATCAGGAATGGGGAACACTTTTTCTGGTAAGACCCACTGAGCCATAGGGAATAGTTCACAGATGTTTCAAGGAAAAGTAAGTGTAATAAGAGAAGGTGAAAAGTCTTAATTCTGCTGGTTTTCAGATTGGCATCAGATAATCCAAAAATTAATTGAATAAATCATAGGGTAAATAATTTAAAATTCTTAAAATTATTGCACTAAAGAGATTTAGAATCAGGAGATAGAAAGGGAATAATACAGACAAATGAGAAGTGGAAGTTTGCCAAGTGTTCACTTTGTGCAAATATTCTTTCTCTTGCCCTAAGGCTGATTTTCCTCCCTCTCAAAGATTGCTAAAGTTAATTCCCATCCCACTTCTGAACCATTAACACACCTAGTTAAAAACCCCACTGCCCAGGCCCAGTATCCATTTCTGATAAGATTATTAGTAACATTGGAGTAGAAAGACAGTACATGGGAAAAGAATGTCTCACACCCAGACCCAACATCATTCTTCATATTGAAATTTCAGAACTGTCCAGACCCAACTTCATTCTTCATATTGAAATTTCAAAACTGTCCTGCTACAAGCCTTGGCAAGAGAATACCACCTCTGCCACCACTGCCATTTAACATGTCATTTTTCCATAAGTTGGAGCCAAAACAGAAATGCAGTGTATCTTGTTCTAATTGGGGAGACATTGGCATCCTCTCTTTTTCTACATAAAATTTTTCTCTCCGGAATACTCAAGGGAATAGCTGAGCACAACTATAAGTAATAAACATTTGTATGTATTTTTTATAAAAGTAGCAGAACATGTACAGCTACAAAGTGAACATGGGGTGTGTAACCAGTACCCAGATTAGAGAACAAAATAGTCCTGGTGACATAGGGGGGTCCCTGGGGGCCCATACTCAATACTGTGTTCATCAGGGGGATTATACGTAGTTTCTATTATTATTTTCTTTGTGCGTTTCTATACTGTCTAAATTTTCAATAATTATGTACTCAAATAAAAATGATTTTTTGTTTTGTTTGCATGTGTTGTTTTTTGAAAGAAGTTTTGTTATTTCTAGGTTGAAGTTTGTTTATGTCTGTTAAGCATAGTCACTATCTGTTGATCAGGAACTAATTTTTATAGAAGTCTTGAAATTTTCTTTCTCCCTAACCACCCACCCAAGGAAAATATTCTCTTGTTGACTTGAAAGCAGCATTTTAAAAGGATGAAAATTGAGAACAAATAAGTCTGTTTTCTGTGAGAATTTTTCGAAGACTTTATGTATATTTGACTTACCAAACTGGCTAAGTAAGGTACTTTTGATTTTTCTCATTATAAATAAGGGTGTTTATCACTTGGATCCATGTTTGAGCCCCTCCATCTCTTAATCTGAGCCTTTTGATGTCTTTTACTTATTTCTCAAACTTTTTTTTCTTTACTCCTTCAGATTGTGAACCTTATAGAAGAAACTGGACACTTTCATATCACAAACACAACATTTGATTTTGATCTTTGCTCGCTGGACAAAACTACAGTCCGTAAACTACAGAGTTACCTGGAAACATCTGGAACATCCTGAGGATATAACAACTGGATGCATCAAAACATCAAAAACTATTGCTTTTTTTTTTTTTTTGGTTGTGATTTTTTTTTGTTATTGTTGTTTATATGAAAACACTCAGAATGATGCAACCAAAAGGGAAAAAATAAAAATCAAACAACCTTCAGCTTTATTTTCCTTTAAAGCCAGTCATCATCTCTTGATAAAGGAGAGGTTAAGCAAACCAGCCTCAGCGGACCACTCTTCTCTCCAAGGAAATCCCCGGGAAGAGTTAGCCTGGATAGCCTTGAAAACAAACAAAGCAAACACAATACAAGAAAACTTAAAGAATGTGTATGGTATCATGTCTCTCTCCGTGGTGGTTCATTCCACAGGACGAACGCATACTCAACACACTGCCTTATTACATAACTGATCTATTTATTATCGCATACAGATATTCTAAAGTCGTTGAGGGAATGACACCACCAGACATTATGAGTACTTGGTCCCGTGGATGCTCTTTCAATGCAGCGCCCTTGCCATCCCAAGCCCAGTGACCTTACTTGTATACCGTGCCACTTTCCACCAACTTTTTCCAAGTCCTTTAACTTGTTGCAGTCTGTATTTTCCACCTTTTGTTTTTCCAGTTCCAGGACACAAATTTTCAACTGGGGGGACCAAATAGCCACTTTGATTTTCTTCTTTGTGGTCTTTTTTCTGAAAGTTGGGGCCAGACCTTGGCTGTTTCCATGTAATGATCTTGGACCATGGTAGAAAAGGCACCAAATAGGATCATATGAATTGCTGTCTAGCCTTAGTCAATAAACCTGTAGGACTTATACAAGAGCGTACCTGTAAACGTCCTGACTGCAGCATTGTCGAGCTGTCATCGACATTCTTGTGTCTGTTTTACTGTTATAATATTAGGCAAATATGGAAGTAAAGGCATTCCACAGGATCAGCATTTGAAAAAAAAAATTCCAATCCTGTTTTCTAAAGAAATGTAGAAATTCTTAATTTGGATCTATTTATTAGAGGTTCAGCTCTCTTCAGCTGCCAGCTTGGTATTCATCTTTATTGTAAAACCAGGAATCAGAGTTTTGTTTGTTCACATACGATTCTCTTAGACTCTTTTATATTTGAAAAATTAAAATCTTTCTTTGGGGGAAAAATCTTGGTTATTCTGCCATAACAGACTGTGTATTAACTTGTAGATTCAGTGGTTCGAAACCTGTTTAGTCCCTTGCTAATGTTTCCAGAAGGATTTCCTGTATTGGTGAAAGTAAAGATGGTTGGGGGGTGGGGGATATTTTTGTTCTTGTACCCTTGTTTTGGAACTAGAACTCTGTCCTGTGGCATGCAAAAGAAAGAAAATTATTTTTTAAAAGAAAAAAAAAACCAAAGTACTTTTTGGTGTCATTATTCTATCCTCTCCATAAATGGAGAAATGAAAAGTGAGAACAGCTCATCTTCTAGGTCTTTACTAGGAACTCAACCACAATGAAAAGAAAGGAAGAAATGCTTCTGGATCCAAAGGTCTGTCCCTGGATCAGCCTTAAGGAAGTCTCTGTGCTAATAGACCAGGATCTCCCTCATTTGCTCCTGTGCCAGATGCTGTCTTTTCATTCAGAGATTAACTAGTGTCTGTACAAAAAAATGGTCTCTCCAGACCCATTCTTCTAGTAGGCAGTAATGTAAATGCAGATTGGTAATGGAGTGATTTCTGCATTTTAAAAAGCATTTTTTACACTGTTTCTTTCTATCCAAAGAAACTATTTTTTCCTTTTAAAAAAAATTATAATACAGCCATGCTCCTTGTAAATTACTTCTCTGAAGTGTCCTCCCAGAGGACAAGTGTACTTTCAAGAATGTTATGATTCTTTATGATGATTGGCATGAACTGTACTTGAAGCATTCGTTATTGTAGTCCACTTCTCAATGTGCAATTACAGAGATGATACTTTCCAAGTTATTTTGGACATTAGGTGACTGATGAATTGTGTGGTTTTAGTTATAGTTAACTTTACAGGTGAAAGGGGAGGGAAATGCTTATATGGAAATATTTCTGACTGATAATTCACATATTCTCACTAAACCAGAAATTTATGTGCTTAAACTAATATATCTCTTTGGTTTAACTAAAAACATTTATATGTAATTTGGGCCATTTTTATTTTTGTAACTAAATTGTGTGGCAAAATTTTTGATTTGGCAATGTAAAGATTTTTTTTTCCCCATAAGTCAGTAACCAAGAAACTAGGTCAGATTTAAAAAAAAAAAACAACTCTCCTCCCCACCAAAATAAATAAATAAATAAGGGCAGCTATTACAGTGATATACTTTAGACCTGAATATTAGATAATCACATGTCTTCCAAATAGCATACCATGTACGTTTATAAACTAGTAACAAATTTTGGAAAAACTTGCCAACCTCCTATTATCCAGACAGCAAAATGTGTTTCCCACAAAATTCTAATAGTTAGCTAGATTTGGAGTGTTTTTTTGTTTGTTTGTTTGTTTGTTTTTTGAAGCAGTACTCTGGTCCTCATCATGTGATTTTTAAATACAGAAGTAATAAATCCCCTCTCTGTTAAATCTCAGAGTTATAAGACTTTTCATAAAGTCACCTGCTCAGTTCTGCCCCATTTATGCATACTCACCTTTGAAACTTGTTGAGAATTTTCTTAACATGTGTACCCTAGTGGCTTTGGTTTTTTTAAGCACAAAGGGGAAATGGCAGGGTTTAATTTCTTTGGTGTATATATATATGTATGTATATATATATATATATATATATATATATATATATATATATATATTAAAAAAATAGATGTTTCAAATAAAGTTAATTGGGCAAATGTGAATATGGTTTGAACCAGCCAGAGTATGATAAACTGTCTTCAAAGTTTCCCCCTGTGATTTGAGGTGGAAAAATGTATGTACAGAATTTGTGCTTTCAGCCGCCCTTTATAAATTAGCTTTTGCTTCTGGTTTTGCAGCAGGAGGTGTGTGAGAGGGAGTTCTTCTGTCTTAGGATACACCAGTTATATTAGCAGATGTTTGCAGTTATTCTGTATCTTTGCCATGACCCGTTCTTCTCTCTATGTGAACAAATGTCTATATATGCTTACATATTGTGTCAAAGTATAGATGAGGAGACAAGAGTTTTAGGGGGGTAAAAAAAAACCTCGTAAGAATGTCCTAAACATTTTTAAATTGCTAAGCAAAACTCTGTAAATGAATCATTCACCTTTTTGTGGAAAAAGCCAATAAAATTGGTTTTCTTCCACTAGAAAATTTCTTCCACCAAAACCAGTTTTTGCTGATACCTTTTACAGACCCACCTAATCTTTAAAAAGCAAACAAATGACAATTTAGGCCTGTATAACATAATGTTTACCATTTCAAGCCCCACAAATGTAGTTAACACTTGTTTAAGAGAGACTTTACTCTTAAATGTTTTAGCTCTACCTATTTAATAGAGTTGGATGTTCAGTGTTGGAAATGGTCAATGTCTGTGTTTGGTGGCTCGTGTTCATTTTTCTCACTGTGGAAGTGATCAGCTCGGAGTAATTTGCTGTGTGCTTATTACTTTCCACCTTTAGTGTCTGTGTACTAATGCTGTGTACTGCTCCTATATTTATATACCTATATATATATATACACACACACACATACACACACACATATATATATATATATATATATATATATATATATATATATATTATCAGAGTAATTTTGCTTTGGACTGTCACTCTAACACTATGACTATGATGTAGAGACTACTACAGCTGCAGTGAACACGAAGGAGTCAATTCCCGTGGTGTAGGTTAGTCTTGGGCTGCAAGTCGACATCTTTTGACCTCTTCTGTTTTATATGATGCTTTTTATTATGTAGGCACTGCCATCCCCGAATATTCCTTGTAAAGATTCATTGAAGAAGTCAATTTAAAAGGAAGACAAAGCCACCGCTGTCTGTAAACTGTAAATATGTACTTTGGCACTTGTACTCCAGTATTCTGAAAATAGAGTTATGATGGAAATGCTGACAGATCCTTAACGGTGGCCAGAGCTACCATGCAGTGCAAAAATAAATTAAGTAAAAATGTATTCTTGAGATTAACAGTGCAAGGCCAATACGTTTTATAAATCTGTCAGTATCTTTTTAATGGAGTGTGTATGTGTAGTTATGTTGAAAGATACACTGTGTATGTGTGTATACATGCTTTTATGTGAACTACAAGGCACACGCAGGATGTATTTGCCATCTCTAAAACCCATGTTGAAATGTAAGTACAGATTGACAGAAATAGGTGTTTTACTTAAATTCATGCCTAATCTATTGTGGCTCCTTTTTTTTTTTTTTTAACAATATATAGTCTTACAGATTTATTTGACCAGTTTGGTTCTACTTTGCAATTCAGGAAAAATAAGCCTCTTGTCATACAGCAATGCTATTTCTAAAGAATGAAAAGAATTGAAGTAACCAGAGAACCGGTAGTGTGCCTCAAACCTGCTGAGGGCAGTTTATATGTGCATCCTTTTCCCCCTACTCCTTTGGAAGGGTTGATATAGTAATTGTCTAGCTATAGCTAGACAGAGTTGATATTACAAAGCATTTATTTTAGTACCAGAGCATGCTAACTTGATTTGAAAGGAAGGATAGAAACTACTACAACAAAGGGAAATTAAAATACATTGAGTTTGGCAAATAACCAAGGAAAATTAAATGGGATACTCATTAGTAAAGAGACATCAAATTTGAGAAACTGACCTTCTCTTCATTCAGACCAACAAGCCCTGTAGGGGATTGCGGTAGACTGCTTTGTCTTTGATCAGCTAGAAACTGACTTTAGGTGAGCAAAACTTACTAATTGCCACACGTGAATTAGACTGATCTGTTTTCCTTATTTTACAGATGTTCATTTGTGTATGTATATAAAATAATAGCCTAGCATCTTCTCCAGTGTGGGGAGAGTCAAGATCACTATCGTGAGCCTGCTAAAGCCGACTCCAGGAGTGCACTGTGTCACATGGTTTTTCTTAGCACATTTGTTCCATTATCTCAGAGCAGTGTCCCCACTGGGATATGCAAGGAAACCTGGAGAGAGATGACAGATCAAGGTTGACACAGACCTCCATGGTATTTTAGAGATAGATTGTCTAAAACTAGCAGTTTTTTCTTTTTTCTTCTTCTTTCTGATTATGGAGCAGCTAAGGGTATTTTACTGGTTTCCTTGGCCAGGATACCACCCAAATAGAAAATACCAAGCATATTTCAATGATTCTGCTTTCTCCACCAGGTAATAGTATCCACACCTTCCTGTTTATGTGGTCCCTTTCTGTAGAGGCATTTCCAGTCTATTTCAAAGGTTGTTAAATTGCCCTTGGCTTTCAGCTTAGCCTCTGGGTCTTAATTTCCTCTTAATTAAAGAAGAGTAACCAAAATGATCCCCAAGAGCTGGCAAGGGAAATACATGGCCCAAACTAATATCACTCCAGTAATTATAACTGGACCCTATAACTGTTAAATAACAACAGAAATAATGCACCCCCTGCAAGGAGGTTCCTTGAGTCTACTTCTATAATGTGGGGTGGTTATCGGGTCCCTGGGCAATCTGCACAAAGTAGGTGGCTATGTGGAATAGAGACTAACAAGGAACACAAGGCAAAGCCATGAGCATGTTTTTCCTCTTACAATCACGTCTTCCACTACATGCAGCCCCCACCCCAGGGTTCTGAAGTTTCAAAAGGGTAGAAAAGGATAAATCCAGGCCATTAAAAGAAAATAAAGCTATTGAAAAGATAAAACAAATGAGTCGCACTAAAAGGGCAGTCTGTGCAAGTAATAAGGTTGAAATACTGATACGGATTTCCTAGCGAACAGCATTCCTCACACATGTGGTTTGTGTATCCGTGTCTGGGTGGGTGGTCTGGGGAGAAGTGCTAAACGCAGCAAGATGGCTTAGTTTCTGAGCAGTGGAGGGCAGCTTTGGGACAGGCTCAGCTCCTGGCATCTGCAGTCCATACAACATAAAGAGGCTCTCCTGCTTTGTTCCAGGAGGGAAAGTTTTTAACTTGGCGTATTCATTAAGCGTGCATCTCTACTCTGCACAGAATCCACCAAAGGGTAGGAGCGTGTGTGTGTGAGTGAGTGTCTTTAAGCACCTCCTCGATACTTCCCAGTCCTGGGGGGCAGAATGTGTTCTTAGAGTGTAATAAACCTCCTTTTGCTCTAATCTATTCCCTGGGTGCTAGGCACCAACAAAAGTTCTCTTTTGAGAGTCATGCTGTTGTAAATAACACCTCAGTCTAGATAGAACAGGGAATAAAATTAAATTATGGCCAATAAACAAAAACCAAAGGAAGATGGACTCCCCCCACCTCCCAAGCACATTTTTACTAATGAGACTACCAATGAAGCCCACCTCAGGTCAAGGTGGGAGACTGATTAAGGGGACTTTCTTGCACTCAGGAAACAAGATGTCCAACAATGGCTTTTGACAGACATGAATCATGCTAACTTGTGTTGGAAGACAGGTGACTTCACAAATGTCTATTGGAATTCTTAGGTGGTGTGGCTTTTATTTTGACCTCAATTACTGGGGGAATAGATCATTGTTTTCCTAATTATAATATTAATTGCTTACACATTTATTGTGTCTTCCCCTCTCTAGAATAGTAGCTCACTGTATGCTAATAATATATTAAATTCCTAGAAAGACATACATTATAAAAACAAATTGTTTAACTGTAAGTTAATATTTCCCAATTGTACCTGGCACAATAGTAATCATACAGATTAATAATAGATGTTTTGCTTTTAAGAAAAATTCCTTAATCAAAGTAATTTTATAGTATAATTTTATTCTTCAAGGCTTACAACACTGTTTGGGATAGTAGACAGCACAGCTCTTGATATTCCTAGAAGTGTTTTCTGGGTTAAGTATCCATTTAACTTATTGTCCAAGCTGGAACCATTTTGAGAGGAAAGTAGGATACTATTAAGGATTATTCCAAGACAACAGGAATAAACTGAGTCTATCTTCAGCCAACCAGGATATGTGGAAACCATAGATCCAAGGAACATACTTTGGGACATGCCAAACTGAAAATACCCCCTCAGACTTCTTTTTTAGTGCAGCATGTGAAGTTGTGAAGTTTTAGTTCAGCATGTGAAGGTGTGTAGTTGGCCTCTGTATGGAAGAATATTGTATCTTTCCTCACCCATTGAAAAATTTGTGGTTGATATCCCTCTAATAAAGATTAAGGAGAGAATTTTACATGACACAGGACCTTCAGAAATGATCCACAGACACAGGGAAAACTATTTTTATGCTTAAGTTTGGAGAGGAACAGATAGTAGTGTTAGAAATATGATTGGACAAAGGGGAGTTTGACTTCAAGGTAATAAATTGGGGGGAATTTAGCAAGGACTGTTCCTTCAGAGTCCTCTTGGCCTCCAGATATATGGCAGGGCCCTTCTTCAATGAGGGTCTTACAATCTATTTCAGGCAAAGTAGATCAGAATTTCTTTTATGATCATGCTTTAGGAGAGAAAGGTAAGGGTGAAATCAAAGTGACTGTTCTGCTGTTTTCTCAGTTTCCTTCAGCTCAGTACTCCAGGGTGCCATATTTGGGAGTATCATGTCCTGAGCCCCAGCAGCATCCTCTTTATGGTACATATAGTGGCTCCCTCACAGTAAGGGTGGCCCTTAGGGCTCACGGTTCAAGGGGCATTTTCACTGATGCGGAAGAACCATGGTGGTTGAGGTGGTCTTTGGCCACCCCTTCCCTGCCCTACCCCTATAATAGCCTGTTATTTACATAAATGAGTAGGCAGGGGGATGGGGTTGTGGCTCAGCAGTAGAGTGCTTGCCTAGCATGTGTGAGGCCCTGGGTTCAATCCTCAGCACCACATAAAAATAAATTAATAAAATAAACATAATGTGTTCAATTACAACTTAAAAAAATAAATATTAAAGAAAAAATAAAAAAATAAATGAGTAGGCAATACTGACCATCAGTCCCATATTCAGGAAGGGTTCATTCCTGGTCCAGTTTCCTGAGCCTGTTGCATGCTGAGGTCATAGTGGTTTTCTTCACTCCCAACACCTTTGCTTGAGAGGCTACTTCTTCATTGTCTCCTGCTTAGTCACTCTGGGGCCACTGCTCTATCTTGGTGGTTGGTCTTTATTCCCAGCAGCTCCTGGAATTTTGCTGCTCTCCCTCTGTCTCCAAGTCCTGAGACCTGATATCTTTTGATAATTTCCTGATTCCCAGTTGCATGGACACAATTCCTAGCATAGAACAAATGCTCAAAAAAGGTTGAACCAGTAGATGAATGTCTGTAAATAAATCCTTTCTTGACTTGTAAGTAGGTTGATACATTGATGGCATTCTCCACTGTGTCTTTTCCCCAAAATCATGTCCCTTATTTGGCCATTATATTAATAGTAATAAAAAGTGTGATGAGAAAAACAAATAACAGTTACTTGAGTCAGAAAAGCTTGGTTTTGAATCCCATATCTGCCACTTCAAGCCTTGTAACCTTAAACAATAGACATTCATGAGCTTTGGTTTCTTATTTGTGAGATGGGATTAACAAAGCACCTCTGTTTTAAGGTGACTGTGAAGATTATATTGCATTTAGAACATTATGCCTGGTCCATGGTATTCAGTAAATGGTAGGTACTTTTATGCTAGTGGAGTCTGGCAAGAGCCTCTATTCTCCTTGGTGGAGAACTTTGCCTGTGTGTAGGATTACTCTGTTCCTATTTGTCATTTAACCTCAAGTGTCAACCTATTGTGATACACCCACTATGTTCACAGCCATGGTCATTGCTCCTCCCCACATTCCCATTCTTGGAGGGCAGTCTTCAGCTATGGAACTGACTGTTGCTCCTCTGAAACTGCTTTTAGCCCATGGGAAAGAAAGGGAGCCAGAAGCAAAGCACTCTTTTTTTCAGGTCTCAGAATTAGAATTCATAAAATAGTTGTACTTCCACTGGATGAGCTCATTTGCTAGAGATCATGCTGGTGAGGTTATAGGTTTGAACTCCTTATGACTCCATTGATTTGACCCCTGCATGACTAAAACCTTCCAAATTCTATATCACCATGTCATGAATGAGTGTCTCAGGAAGGGCAGCATGAGAAGATTCTCTTCCAAACATGACTTTATGACAACTTTTTGAGAGGGTGTATGATCATCACTGTCATCTTCACACAACAGTCAGAGGCAGTAGAGAATGCCATCACCAATTGGGTGAGTGGCATTTGGGATGGAAGTCATCCTCTCCATAGTGTTGGCCATTTCATTGGAAGGAAGGCTAAGTTGGG